TTAGTAACTGGTAACAGTTGAGGTTAATTATATAGAAACAGTACAAACATACTTTTGTTAGTAACTGGTAACAGTTGAGGTTAATTATATAGAAACAGTACAAACATACTTTTATTAGTAACTGGTAACAGTTAAGACTAATTGTGTACAAACATACTTATGTAACTGTTAAGGGTAATTATGTACAAACATAGTTATGTTAATAAATAGTAACGGTTTACGTTAGTTATGTACAAACATACTTATGTTCATAAATAGTAACGGTTTAGGTTAATTATGTACAAACATAATTATGTTCATAAATAGTAACGGTTTAGGTTAATTATGTACAAACATACTTATGTTAATGAATAGTAACGGTAAAGATTAGTTATGTAAGAACATACTTATGTTAATAAACGGTGATGGTTTAGGTTAATTATGTACAAACATACTTATGTTAATGAATAATAACGGATTAGGTTAATTATGTACAAACGTACTCATCTTTACAGCTGGTTACTTGCGTATAAATCAAAGACAAGTGAAGATTCGAAATCTTTTTTCGTAAGTACTTTGTGAAATATTTGAAGAGTAAAACTTGCTTTTGACTTCTCTTATATTGAAATAAGCTTCTTGCTCAAAATAGAAGTCAAATGTTACAAGAAAAGTCTTATTTTTATACATTTTACAAAATTTGCTCTCGATTTAATGAACGTTAAATGAACTAGTTTCTGTAAAAGATTGATTGAATAAGTCAGGGGAATAAAAACATTTATTTTAATGTAAACTGAAGAATTATTTGAGATGTAACTTCTGAGCTTTAAGTATTAACATTATTCGACAAAATCTATGACTTAAAACAAAATGCAAAGAAAGCCTTAAATATGTGTTAAAATGTATAACTCTTTCACAGAAATTTACTGTCATTTTATATGGCAGGTAAAATACAATTTCGAAATTCTGCAAGACAGTGGAAAAATCTGTGCTTTTGTGCATAAGAAACGAAAACCCTTACCTGTTATGAACGTAAGTATATTTATAAAATAACATAATGAACGCATATTTTGAAATACAGCGGTCTAGTACAGCCTAAAAAATAAGACGTGAAAAAGAGTGTAATATGTTCGAGTTCTATATAAAGATAGTTCTTTTTTTTTCAATACTATTTGATAAAGAATTAATTGCTTGTAGTTGAGGCCAATACAAATCACACCTATTTGTTTCATGCTTGTCTACGTATAAAACACACCTAGTTGTTTCATTCATGTCTGCGTGTAAAACACACTTAGTTGTTTCATGCGTGTCTACGTGTAAAACACACCTAGTTTTTTGTTTTCATTCGTGTCTACGTGTAAAGCACGCCTAGTTATTCACATTCATGTCTACGTGTAAAACACACCTAGTTTATTTCATTCATGCCTACGTGTAAAACACACCTAGTTTATTTCATTTCATGTCTACGTGTAAAAACACACCTAGTTATTTCATTCATGTCTACGTGTAAAATAACCCTTGTTATTTCATTCATGTCTACGCGTAAAACACACCTCGTTATTTCATGCTTGCTTACATATAAAGCAGTTTTAAATTTGATAGTTATATAATGAAAAATTAGCAGAGAATACAAATGCAGCTACAAAGTGATAAGTCTGAGAATGCGAAAACGATTTCCTCAACGTTATTTCTGTTATAAAGTTGTTTTTTTTTTAAAGTTTCGTATTTCTAGGTACTTGTGTCTCATTTCCTCATTTGTATTGGCATGTTTCTTGTTTGTGATTTTGTTTGAAAACGTTTATATTCAAGATGTAACTAAACTAATTTCTGATCGTGTCTTTACGCATCAACAACGGTCTATAATAGATTTTACCAATTCTAATAATAAATTGTGATTTGAAACCTTTACAACGTACTGAAAGGTGTAAAGAAAAATGTGTAATATACTTTTATATTGTTTTAAATTTATCTACATATTTATACAAAAGTTTTACACGAAATTCACTTGGTTCAACACAGTATAAAAGTTTCGTCATTTCAGCTTTCTTAACTCGTTCAATATCTGGCTTTCCTAGCATACTGATTAAGTACCATTGTACATATGACTTTAGAACAACTTACTGAACATTTAGACAAAACAACATTAGTTTTATCACATTGATCAAGTTATCAAGTATGACTTTTATACTTTTCTTCGCTATTCTATAACTTTCAGTCAGTTCTTATACACAAGTAATTTACACCCTGAGATCTCATGTCACAGAAGTATTTCTTTTAAAACATAGCAGTCTTTCTATATAATCTAATTTAAAATCATTACATTTGAGCTCAGTAAAGTATTTCTATATGAGCTAACTTAAAATCATTACATTTGAACTCAGTAAAGTATTTCTATATGAGCTAACTTAAAATCATTACATCTGAACTCAGTAAAGTATTTCTATATGGGCTAATTTAAAATCATTACATCTGAAATCATAGCAACTTGCTCAATGAAGTCATTTAACTTATGATCAAAACAATTAAAAATTATAAATTTTAGTCCTTCAACGTCAGCTAACTTAAGATCATTACATTTAAAATCACAGCAATCATACTTAACACGTCGGTTAACTAGTTGTTAAAACATCTGATGTTACGGAATTCAGCCCTTGTGAATAAGTTACCTTTCAACACTTACAGACTCTATGTCATTGGTTATTGCAAAACGTCTTACAAACCAGTCAGTTCTTTCCATCTTTACAACAGTGAACTTACCATCATTACATCCGGCATTACAGCAGTAAGTCCCTCTACAACACAACCAAACATTTTGAGTTTACTCTTCAGAACTTCTGCGTTGCTGGAGATAAGAAAATAAAACAGATATTCAATTATTGTCTGTATTCTTAGAACGATTTCTAAATACATCTTTTGGTCAAAACGTTAGGAATATAAAGTTTAAATTAATTTCTAAAATTTGAAGATGTTTTTGATTTCGAGCATTATTATTATATTTTCTTCAAAATTCCTACGAAAGACTGGAACTAAATGTCTTATACAAACGTTACATGATACTGAATAGTGCAACTACTATGCTTATTGTATCAGAAACATTACCAGCCCTTGCCTTACCATAATCACATTTCTTTGAACCTACAAACCGCATTGTACATATAATTCTAGTTTCCGTGTTTTAATATGAATATTTCAATGATAATATACCACAGTAACAGTTTAAAATTATGCAAAAGCCTCTTGATAACTTCAACTAAAACATAGGGATTTTAGTACAGTGGTGCAACCACCTGGTTGCTTCATCTTCAACTATTAGGGTGAGATTTTTGGTATATTAAAATAAATATCAAACTAGCTTTAACCTAAATTAATCTTAGAATTACCAATGGAGTTTATAGCCTATCGGTTTTTGAAACATTTTATTTCAACTATTTATGTACCAAGTTATTTGTGGGTTTGTGGCTTTGTTGGTTACAGGATCCCTAACAACGTATAAGTCACATAAAAAAGTAAAAATATGTGTCATCAATATTTCAATTAATTGCATAGATTGCTCTAGAGTCCATATGAACCCTTATGAATGTTACATAGAGAATAAGAGATTTCATTGTTTATGGCCACTTCAATGTTACATAGAGAATATGAGATTTCATTGTTTATGGCCACTTCAATGTTACATAGAGAATAAGAGATTTCATTGTTTATGGCCACTTCAATGTTACATAGAGAATAAGAGATTTCATTGTTTATGGCCACTTCAATGCATCGAACATCATAGCAGTAAATATAAACACAAAACTGTTCAATATGATGCATCATGGAGTAACTTTCTTGCATCATATCTAGTCTCTCTTACTGCATCATACAGAATCGATTTTCATGAGTATAAAATGTTGGTTCTGTATGATGTGTAACTCATTGTTTGTTTCAGCCTTCTTTTAAATTTCTTCTTTAATACTTTTTCGGTGAATAACATGCATTTCTGGGCGAAAAGTACTGAGAATCCTGAAAATGACTGTCAGCTTAGTAGTGGTGACTATGTGGCATTAAGTTAATATAATTTATTTATCGACGAAAATGTTAATGATGCAAAATTAGGTCAAAATTGGACTGTTGAAAAGTATGATCACATTTAAAACCCTAGCGTTTTTGACAGGTTCACCTTTATCCCTGAAAAAGACAATCTGTCGACAGTGTTAAGATTTTATCAGATGTGTTTTAACAAACTTTCTTCCATCCTAACTATTTTCATTATCATGACTGGATATTATGATTATACTAATAAATACTAGACGTGTGTTTATCAAAAGATATGAACTAAATGGAATGGTTTACAACAAAACAGCAGCCAAACGAGGAAATGACTTCTGCAAGTCAAACAAAGTCCAACTGAATATGTGAGAACAAATGTGACACAACTTTATCTGTATCCAGTCTATTCATGAAGAAGAGTATTATGGAGGAAATATTGATATGGACAAAGAACAGATGAAACATTGCGTTGGAAGAAAAACTGAAGCATTTAGATATTAACAAACTGCAATGTTCTTTAGGTGTGATGGTGCTAGCTGGTGTTTATAAACCAAAGACAAGAAATCGAACAGTTTGGAGTTGAGACTGTGGTACGCTAACAAGAAACGACAAGTAACAGATTTCAGTAAATTTCAGGTTGACTTCGATTTTGTAACGCTGAAGAAAATAGCAAACAAAGTGAATATTTGATTCTATAGAAATCAACGTTGATGAAAGCATGCTAACTATTCATCAGAAAACATGGCCATTGAAGACCACTAAATTACATTAAGTGGTTAATGTCCTTTCAAAACAATAGATTCTAAGCAATCCTGGAAAATATCCATCAAAATCCGACATGTTAATATGCAAGTGCGTACAGGAAGCAAAGAAGGAAAGCCAAGAAGACACAACCAAAGAAAGAAGGCTGTACTGAGTTAGGAAAACAGTGAACATAATGTAACTTGTGATAATTTCTTTAGGAGTTTCACATCTTCCAAGAAATTACTGGACATGAATCTAACAATAGTTGGTACAACAATAAGAAAATGAAGTTGAAATTTCATCTGGCATGATGTCCATGAAAGGAAGCGAAGTTCTAATTGTTCCAAGAAAAATACTGCTGTTAAATATTCTTCATCATTAACCTGAGATGACAACAATACAGTAAGAAAAAACCAGTAATGACCTTAAATTACAAGAGTGCCAGAAGTGAAATGAGTATTACTGACCAAACGATAGGGGGCTACTCAGCTCAAAGAAAAAACAAAGTTGATATTTTCTACAACATGTTAGATGTATATTTCCTACATGCTTTGTTTAGTTTACACCGACTGGAATGAAGGAATATCCCATAAGAGACGCCTCATTCAATAAAATATAAGGTATGATGTACAAGTGCACTGGAAACCAACACAAACTACAAAATTAGAGACTAGCGTTAAAAGAAAACGTGGCGTTGGCAAGATCTTCCCTTGAGGAACGGATGAAAAAAAGAAAACGTTGCCTTTATAAGGTCTTCCCTTGAGGAACGGATGAAAAAAAGAAAACGTAGCCTTTGGAAGGTCTTCACTTGAGGAACAGATGAAAAAAAGAAAACGTAACCTTTGCAAGATCTTCCCTTGAGGAACAGATGAAAAAAAGAAAACGTAACCTTTACAAGATCTTCCTTTG